TCACGAGGCTCGACGCCTCTTGCACGCACGCAATGCCGGAGCAGGGAGTGCACACTAAATTTTGGCGGACCAGGGACGTACGTAGCGGCCGTACCGCGATGGTGTCACTCCTAGGGCGTGGAGTTCATAAATTTTACCCAAGGGTGATGTTTTGACAAACGACGCTAGATTAGAATCTTTCGCGTACTTCACGACGCTTTATCGACTACTTGGACGAAAGCCCAAGAATTCTAACCGGCCTGTGTATCATTCATTTTCACGGCTCTGTTAAAATATTGCCTGCATTTCGCGATCTGAAACACCGAACCAATCCCACATTTCCCAAATCAAATATTCTTCCGACGTCTCGTTCTATACGCATCTGAAAAATGCCCGAATATTTTACTCAAAACATTTCTTCTCACCTTTCTATCTTCACTTTTCATACTTTTGCTTAAATTTATCTTACCAAACTTTTTCTCTATTTAAAAATTTCTCGTCTGATCTCGTAAGAGATTGAAGGAAGAAAGGACAAGAGTTCGTATATTGCGTTAATATCGAAGCTCTCTTTGCAGGTTTATCGATCGTATATTCTGCAATTCGATCGTAAATACACCGTAATCAATATGTCGCCGTAGTATGTACATACGAAGAGTTAGATTCGTGTAATAAAACTGGACTAAAACGGCATCGAAAGGCGCCGTGGTGGAGCAAATGGAAACGTTTCTCTATCGAGGACAAGAGTTCGTAACACGTTTTCGTGCGGCTCGCACGGAACGTCGAAAGGGTTATTGTCAGAACGGAGAATGACGCGAGCCGGTCATTTCGTTCCGATTCACTCAGCCGCTCGTAAATTCTCTCCGTGACCTCGACTTGAACGCGCGCGCCCGTATTGCTCGCGCGCTCCAGCGACCAGCTAAACGACGAAACAGGGCGTTAACTGCAATTCCATCGAGAACCGTGAAAAACACCTTCTCCGTCTTCTTCTCGGTTCTGTGATTCTTCGTTTGGGTCGTGATCGGTCGTATTACATAAGGCGTGGCCACACGTGTGCGTACGAGAAACAACCGTGCACGTTTAACTTGCTCATCGAACCTCCTTACGTAGTCGTTCGTGTTTGCTTTTCAAGTTTCGGCAAAGCCCAAGGCAAATACCTTTTTGGCCTTCGAGTTCGAGTAACCTGCAATCGTTGGGACACGATAAACTCGGGGGTTACATCTGCTTGGAGAACTTAAAAAGTAGAGTGGAAAATCGGGATTCGGTTTTTTAACGCTGTTGCTGGAACTTTTTTTTATTAAGCGCGAGCCTTTTAACGGTTTAATTGTGTCCACTTCTCAGGCAGAAATTTGTCATCTCTGGTTTGTAACAAAATATGAATGAAAATGAAAATTAATTACTTTATTTGTGTTTTCCTATTGAGAGACACATTTACTGTTTAGATGTTCCCAAGTGTTTTCTTAAGAAATTTATCATCTCTAGTTTATAACTGAAAATGAATAAAAATTTTGGTTCTTGCAAATGTGAATTTGACGTATTTTATATTTAATATAGGCATAACGATACAATTAAAGATGAACAATCTCTCAATAAGTAAACTATCGTGTTCTAAGAATTTGTGAACCAATGACCAGTTAAGTTAGCTCGTTATCCACAGTGCGCAGGTCAAAAATCTATTTGTATAGTACATTTTTGGGGCTTCAGAATTTTGATAAATACCAATGAACGAAAATTGATTGTTTCGACTTCCCTGGGCACATATAACGCTTTAACAATACCTGATTCCCGATAATTTGCCATGACTGGTTTGGAACGAAGGTTCCGCAGCTTCCGTAAGGTGGTAGGGTAGAAAGGTGTACCGTGAAAATAGAATTCGTTGCGCTTCATTTTCGTAAACACCGAATTGTGCTGAGTAACGCGATCGTTTCATTGCCTTCCGACGTAACGGACCATTCAGAGATCTTTAGGATAGGAATGCTGAGTGACGATCTCGTAAAGCTCCTTTTTATGGATTCCGTTGGACGTTAGTGGGGGATTTTTATTGAGAACTTCCGATATCGATTCGCGAACGATGAAGTTGCGAATCGAGCACAAAAAATACTCGTTTACGTTACATTCCTTTGTTCCAGTTAGACAAACAACTCTTTCGTCTTTTGTTGAAATACAAATAGAAACGAGATTGTAGAACATAAATAGAAATAAAAAAACCAACTTTAACCGAGAAAACTTAAAATATCATTTTTACAGTATTTATAACCTGATTCGTATTACCACAAAAAGGACACAAAGTTCCTCGCCCAATTCATAGAAAGAAAAAAAGAGTCAAATTTCCTCGCGAACATGAAAGCGCCAAGATGCATCCTCGATTGGTCCTGCATAGACCGTTCAAACTTTCCTCCAACGGCAGTGACGTAATCGCGTGGCCCGTGGTAACGAATAGCTATCGTGCAACCGTGCCTCCCTTCCACGTCCCGGGGCTTTCTTGCCAAGTGGCGCCACGTATCCGCGTTTCGGCCCTGGCACGTGTTAGATTAGAAAGTGGGGAGGGGGATGCGCGATACCTTAGAAGCGTTAGAGAGGGGGGGGGATATACACGCCATCGTGAAAGAGCGACGAAGATACGTGAACGCACACACGGAACGTGGTAGAGAAAGAAAAGGAAGAGAGAGAAAAAAAAGAACGAGAATAAGACAGCTAAGGATAGAGGAAGAGCGAGAAACAACCATTCGTACGATGGAGAAAGATCGACGTTCGTAGAGTAGTAGCGAGAAGAGCCGTATACACGAGAGATACAAGAGTAAGAGAGGGAGGGGGTACAGAGAGCACCACGCGAACTAAACTTGTAGCCTTAAGCAATCCCCCCCGTCCTTCCCCCACTCTCGTCGAAAAAGTCGAATCTTACTCCTCCCCCT